TATAATAGTGTCAATCTTCCTAATAGTGTCAGTCTTAAGGGCAAGCTTGATATGTGTCCAGTACCCCAAACCAAGGGTGAAATGCTGTAAAAGATGAGGGGCACAATTCAACAAAGAGGTTGTGTAGTGAATGACATGTGAACCAGCCCCAAGGATTCTAATTAACCATCTCTAACCTAACCCTTTATGCAAGTCCAGGTCAATCCACACATCAGCAGCCCTATCCATACCAAAAGGATTAATCCACTTTCTCCAGACCTCAGCCTTCAAGAAACCAGGAGTCTAATCAATACCATTGCAATGTGTGCCGCACATCTCAAAGAGGGGTAGTATGTACCTCAGACTGCTTTCCTTTGGAAAGAGAGAGGCACTGGTGTGTGTCTGCAATGCTTGAGTTTATTCACACACACACACACACACACACACACACACACACACACACACTGAGCATAGGTGGAACTTAACCGCCTATCATCCCTATAAGCAACTGCTCCCAAGTATCTCCGGATCAGCACCCCTGCTTCTGTAGTTGTTGTTTTTTAACTTACAGCTCCTCTGCCTGCCTTTTTAAAGGGAAATTTATTTGTGTCACCAGCCTGCTAGCCCCAAAACTGCCTTTATTTCTACACACAGAGAGCTAGGAGTTGGAGGGAGCAGAAATTGAATGGTTAAGGAGAGGAAGAGCTTTTAAGCACTGTGCTGCAAGAAAGGAAGTCATTTTCACATAGCACAGCTATCACATGATCTTGTCATGATAAAGCAAAGGAACACAACTTTCTTGCTTCTTCTGCTGTTTCTTGCCCAATCTCTAAAGTGTTATGATGGTTCGTCTGCTCTTTCTCTTTCTTTGACAAACTACAGCTTCCTGAATTCTTTGGATCAAGTCACATGCTTTAAATGTGTGCTGAGTATACTAAAAATGTATGGTGTAGATTCTTATTCATACAATTGTTTAATTTTAAAAAAGAAAAGAAAACCAAGCCATCTTTTATCAAGGGTCCACTGATGAAAAATTAAGTAATATTTAAATGTTCGAACCACAGTCTGAGCTCTGCCATTTTCTTTGATTTTAATAAAAGGTTTTAATGTCTCAATAAACCTAACCACAGCATTGCTAATCTATTTCATTAAATCTGGCTAATATCATGATGCCATATTATTAATTCAAAATCCATGTCTCTGTGTATTTCTCAGCTCAGGATCTAAAGAAATTGTTATCTTTGATGAATAGGGCTTGGCCTATTTTAAATTAGGAGGAGAGTCTAAGCCAGGGGTTGTCAACCTGGTTCCTACCGCCCACTAGTGGGCGTTTCAGGATTCTAGGTGGGCGGTAGGGGGTTCTATGGCACAAGCTGAATCCTCCTTCCATCGAGCACTGGTGGGCGGTAAGGAAATCTTACCCTAAAGAAAGATGCATTAGTGGGCAGTAGGTATAAAAAGGTTGACTGTTGTTGTTTAGTCGTGTCCGACTCTTTGTGACCCCATGGACCAGAGCACGCCAGGCACTCCTGTCTTCCACTACTTTCTGCAGCTTGGTCAAACACATGTATCTCCCTCACTATCTCCCTCACATTTTGCTTGCCTTCTCTTCCCCGCTATTTGTAAGGCCTCGTTGGGCAGCCACTTTGCTTTCTTGCAATTCCTTTTCAGTGGGATGATTTTCGTTGCTGCCTCCTGTATAATGTTACAAGCCTCCATCCATAGTTCTTCAGGCACTCTGTCCACCAAATCTAAATCCTTAAACCTGTTCCTCACTTCCACTGTGTATTCATAAGAGATTTGATTTAGATTGTATCTTACTGGCCCAGTGGTTTTTCCTACTTTCTTCAGCTTAAGCTTGAATTTTGCTATAAGAATCTGATGATCTGAGCCACAGTCAGCTCCAGGTCTTGTTTTTGCTGACTGTATAGAGCTTCTCCATCTTTGGCTGCAGAGAATATAATCAATCTTATTTCGATGCTGCCCATCTGGTGATGTCCATGTGTAGAGTCGTCTCTTGTGTTGTCAGAAAAGAGTGTTTGTGATGACCAGCTTGTTCTCTTGGCAGAACTCTATTAGCCTTTGCCCTGCTTCGTTTTGAACTCCAAAGCCAAACTTTCCAGTTGTTCCTTTTATCTGTTGACTCCCTACTTTAGCATTCCAATCCCCTATAATGAGAAGAACATCCTTCTTTGGTGTCATTTCTAGAAGGTGTTGTAAGTCTTCATAGAAGACCCCTGGTTTAAACTAACAGAGAACTCCTAATTCAAGGATATGACTGTGCAAACAAAACACTTGACTTGGAAACAGATATTACACATACATCCATGCTCATCTAACAATATATTATCTAAAAATAATAAGTGCCTAAATGGAACCAATTACTGCTCATCTGGCCCTTTAACACTGAGGTTAGACATCTGAGAAGGGTATTTGAATGTCAGAGTTTTCTTAACAACCATGGATTTCTTAATGAATGCAGTCCCTACTTCCCTTCACCAAACCACTCCGTGTCAATCTCCAACAACTCCTCTGTGGCCCCACCCTCCTCTGTCTATGTCAACATTTGTAGTGGCCACAACAGTTTCTGCAGAACTGTCGAAGGGTTGTGCAATGCATGCACTGACCAGGTCTATGGGTTTCAGCTGCTGCAATATTTTTTCAAGGATACTTGAACCTGCTGCCAGGACTAGGCCATAAAGTTGAACTGTATGATGTATAAATATGTTGTGCGGTGGAAAATTGTGTCATGTGCACTAAAGACAGCCAAAGTCTGAAATCATATCTGAGTTCTGAACAGACCAGGCCCACCATTAACAGAAGTAAGTCCTGTCCCATTGAATTGGAGCTGCTGCTTGGTGAGTGTGCTTGAGATTGCAGCCTTTGCCTACAGAACATTACACACAAGATTCACAGAACTGTCAACACAGTCAACCTTGCATTATTATTAATTCTGCCCCATCAGCTGATGTCATGAGCGATGCCAGCTGATAGGTAGGTGGGCGTGGTTTGGGGAAATTAGTCTGGTGCGAGAAATTGGACTTCATCTGAGGCCCGTCTCCATGTGCTCCCTCCAAGGGAGGTGCAGAGGGAGATAACACAAGAACAGGCCTTCTCAGTGGTGGTTCCTCTTTTATGGAATGCTCTCCCCAGGGAGGCACACCTAGCAGCATTGCTATCTGGTTTTAGATGCCTGGCAAAAATGTTCTTTGGATCTTAATTTTGGATGCTTATCTTTTAGTAGAGTTGGATCTGTATATATTACTTGTGTGTTTTAGGTTGTTTTATTCTCGAGGGAAGTTGATTCATATATATAGGGAGGAATTCATTGTTGCACTATTACGAGCTGCCGAGACCACATAACACCAGTCTTGAAAGACCTACACTGGCTCCCAGTACGTTTCTGCGCACAATTCAAAGTGTTGGTGCTGACCTTTAAAGCCCTAAACAGCCTCGGTCCAGTATACCTGAAGGAGCATCTCCACCCCCATCATTCTGCCCAGACACTGAGGTCCAGTGCTGAGAGCCTTCTGGCGGTTCCCTCGCTGAAAGAAGCCAAGTTACAGGGAACCAGGCAGAGGGCCTTCTCGGTAGTGGCGCCTGCCCTGTGGAATGCCCTGTCATCAGATGTCAAAGAGAAAAACAACTACCAGACTTTTAGAAGACATCTGAAGGCAGCCCTGATTAGGGAAGCTTTTAATATTTAAAAGAATATTGTATTTTAATATTTTGTTGGAAGCCGCCCAGAGTGGCTGGGGAAATATTATTATTATTATTATTATTATTATTATTATTATTATGTGAGTGCAGGCATTTCTGCTTGCCAGACGGAACAATCTTCCCTCTCCCCGCCCCCCATGCACTGTTCTGAGAGTTCTCCTGAACCACCACCACCCCGTGTCAGTGTGTGTGTGTGTGTGTGTGTGTGTGTGCAGGGGCACATGGGGGATAAAACACTGCTGCACTAGCAGGACTTGTGCCAGCTCCTGCTAATAATAGGCAGCATGTGAAATGGTTCTTAGTTGATGCAAGTTCCTGTTCAGAGGAATGGGGTGTCACTTCTTTGCCAATATCTTTTGAAGTAGCTAATATAAATACATTCTACCTGAACAAACTGATCTGTAACAGCCCTCCAGCACAGTCTTCTATCAAAAATTAAAATGTAATATAAATGGGCACTGAAATGTGAGGTGGCAAAAAGTCAAAACAGAAATAAAATTGCAGTTTTGCGTCCTGCTGTCCCTTTCCTTACTGGCAGAAAAAGAGGAACACCAGCAGTGTCTTTCCTTGCCCCCCTGCCTTTCCAACTAGTCCATAAGAATGGCCTTAAGATTTAGTGTTAAACTGAGCCGTTTTATTTTAAAATTATGGCGCAAATTCAGTTATGTTGGAAGAAGACTGTGGGGACTAAATAAATGGACTAAGTGATATCAGTAGCTGTTATAGATGGAGATCCCTGCACTGTTAGCGGTACAGGCTCATCACAATTGAGAGATGCCCACAGTGTGCAATGTTTTAAAGGCACCAGTTCTGCAATCCTAAGGCTTGAGTGAGGTAGTGGAACAGAATGTGGTTCTTCTGCCTTATTCAACACTCTGCAGGGCTCCCACTGGCACGGCAGAAATTAGAGCAGAGCACAACTCTTGTGCTCGTCCATCCTTTAAAGAAAAAAAAGTTTCAAAATAAACAAGATTGAATTACTCAGCTCCTAGGCTGGCATAATTTTCTCCATGGTTTTTTTTTGGGGGGGGGGGGAGGTCAGAGGATAGGGAAACTATCAATTATTCTTTTGATTTATGTCTTCCTCTAGTCCTTCTCCGGCATACCCCCTCTGGTATTATCTTGTTATGTGGAAATGCCCTGTGTACAAGAACGTCCCTTGGACTTTACTACTATGGGAAAGTGGACAGTGTAAATCCATGCACAACCAAGAAACCACCTTTTTCTGCACCTAGTATTCCTCTAAGTGGAACCCTTTTCAAAAGCCCCTTTGCCTTATGTCCTTCGCTGTTGGGCTATAGGGAAGGGCCATAGCTCAGTTGGTAAAGCAAATGCTTTGCATGCAGAAGGTCACAGGTTCAATCCCTGGTGTCTCCTGCTGAGGCTGGAAAAAGCTCATGCCTAAAACCCTGGACAGCTGCCAGTCAATGTGGGCAATCCTGAGCTAGCTGTACCAGTGATCTGACTTAGCATGCGGCAGTTTCTCATGCCTCTGTGAAGCTTGTTTCTGCTGAGTTCTATTTAATAAAGTTTGACAATATGGGCAGATGTAAGGGATGTTTCCTGTAAAAAAGAGGACCAAACCCACTTCCTTATACCATAACCACTTATGCATCACTATAAAGGAAGAAGTGCATGGTCAAAAAAAAGCTCCAAGGGGGTCAGATTTGCATAAAAATGAATATGGATTTAAATTTAGCCATGGTAACTATACTTTAAGTGTAGGAAGGTGTCCGCATCTGCTGTCAAGGTACTGGCTATTAACTGGACCTGGGCAGGCCTTCAAATAGAGGACTGCTTCAAACAGAAGATTGTCCTCTGCCTCTGACAGCCTTTCAAATAAAGGACTGTCCTCTGTGAAGTAGGACACATGACCACCCTGCCTCTTGTGAAATCAGCCACAGAAAAACCTTACCCAACATTATTTGGAAAGAAGCTTGAATTAATCTATGCTCTCTCTTCCTCTCTGTGTGCTGTTCAGATCTGCAGCTTTGTTTTGAGCAATCTAATTGTATCTGGGCCTGACTGCTCCACAGATTGAACTGTATATACTCCAATTAGTTTGAGGCCTCATAGGAGGGGGGGGGGGACGTGCAGCTTGACACTAAATGAGGACCATGGCTCCATATCAGGAAGTAGTGAGGGAAATAACACATGTCGCCACAGTACTTGTCAGCTCCATGGCCTGGTGATTGGAGGCAGTGTTCCTAAAATTGGGGCAAAGAGCCAGATGAGAGACAGCCTCCAAAATGAGTTATGAAAAGCCTGTTAATTTCAGACAGTTCTGGTTACTTTGAAAAAGGCACTGTCGCTGAAACAAAGGTATGGCTTCTATTTATAAACTGAACAATATTTTCCAATTCCACAAGCCTTCAAACCCCAATCACAATTGTATAACATCTCCAAGCTTGTGTGATTAAAAGAAAACCCAATAAACAGAGTGACGCAGGGAAGCAATTGTGGCCTGCAGGGTCCTGGGTCGAGTCGTTCCTTCCTGATTCTTCATCTTATGCACGACATAATTGTTTGGATTTATTTCAGAGGGCGAGATATTTCTTCTGAACTATTCCTTGCCTCAGGAAAAGCATCTATTTGTTTCTCGTAGGCCAGGCTGCCACTGGGGGCACAACCTGGATAGGGCCATAGCAACATCAAATCCTATAACCATTTATTTTAATTCTGATAAGAATTATACCATATTTCTTAATGCTTCTATCCTCTCAGTGGTGGCATTCATTTATGAAGCATCAAACAAGATCTGAAAATCAAAGTCACATGTCCAATCCTAATTCCAATTGCGAAATAAAATGTCAGTTTGTATACAATACATCCATACAATTACTACGCTGCATGTGACTTTTCCAATCTGGTCATTTACAAGGGATGGAGCTGTTGGAACCTAGTATTTATAACTGGCAGCTGCCTCAAACTCTGAGCAGCAATTTCTCTGGCTGTTGTCAAGCATGTTTGATGACTTACCATACAGGAAGCCTGCAGGAGAAACAGGCACTTAACCCTCTGTCAGCCCTATGGGAACAAACGTATACAATGAAAGAAGAATCGATCTTGTTTTGTTAGTTCGTGACATCTTTTTCCGGTCATGAATTTGATAAGATTTTGTACTCTGAAATACACCCCCCCCCAATCTCTGTTACACATATGCACATATAAGCCCAAACAGAAAAAGAGGGTAGTCTACTTTGATTCTCTGTAATAGAGAAGCAAATTATTTACAATATTATTTGCATTTATCAGGCATGGTACGTAAGCTGAGCAAACCAAGCACGTGCCCTGTTTGTAATCTTTGTGCCCATCATAGCTGTCAACATTTCCCTTTTTTTAAGGGAAATTCACTTATTCCGAATAGGATTCCTCGCAAGAAAAGGGAAAAGTTGACAGCTGTGGTGCCCATGAGTCACTTCTGGAGAACCAGGTTCGCACCCCCGCTCCTCCACATGCAGCTGCTGAGTGACCTTGGGCTAGTCACACTTCTCTGAAGTCTCTCAGCCCCACTCACCCCCCAGAGTGTTTGTTGTGGGGAAAGAAGGGAAAGGAGAATGTTAGCCGCTTTGAGACTCCTTAGGGTAGTGATAAAGAAGGATATCAAATCCAAAGTCGTCTTCTTCTTCATAAAGTGAGTGTTCCAAAGAGTTCCAAGGATCTTTTCACAATATTAGAGTTAGCAGGAGTGATGTTTTATTGGCAGTAGCATTCTGACATGTTGCTCTATCCTGTGTAGCATGTTCACATGGAAGCAAGACCCACTGCGTTTAGCTGGAGTTGTTCCTGGGTAAGTGTGCATAAGATTGCAGCCCTAAATGGGGGTGGTAGATGGGGCTTGTGTTACTGATTTGGGTCTGATACTAGGTAGTTAGCACATACTACTTTAAAAACAATTTGTTTTAGTAAATTGTAGGTTACACTTTCTGTAACTCTGCAGCTTCTATATTTTTGCACATGAAGTAAAAGTTGCCAACACCATCCTACTGTGGACTGTAGGCTGTGTACATGTAACACCATCCTACAGAACACGTAACAATGGAAATGGAAGTGGCAGAATGGTTGCCTCCTCTGGAATGTGCTGCCCAAAGTGGGTAATTTCACAGCATCGTGGTAAGTAAGCCAAGGAATGGCCGATAGTCTCATTTCTGGGTTGGAATGACTCAGAGGAATTTTGTCATTCCCAAGTACTGTACCATGACGTTAAATGTTATGCAGTCAACTCTCCCATGACCAATTAAAGCTGAAGCCCTAAACACATGTTTAACAAATTGGACTTATATAAACATTCTTAGACTTAGACTGCAAAAAAGCTAAGTCCTGAACTCATAGCTTGGATAAATGAAAGCTGAAAGAAGAGTGATGTTTAACAAAGGTTCTGTAATCACTTGTTGGTCATTAAAGCTCAAAGAAAGGTGAATTACTTTGTGCTATTCATTACTGATCTGGGTAATTTTGGCTAATTGGTGGAAATAAAGGCCTTTAGCTTCAGTGCTCTCCATTAGAGCAGGCTTTTAATAGATGCTCACTTTTTGACTAGCTGAGCAAAATACTGGAGAACCACAAACAAGGGCACCATTTTGGATTTTGATAGATGGAACAAAGAACCATGTCCCTGGTTCTGAGCCTTGAGCTGGTGGTCAGGAGGCTTCAGAATTTGAACCAGGACCCCTGTCAAGACCTTCCCTTTGATTCACTTGAGTTTTGTACCTCCCACACCTGCCCAGTGGCACAGGGAGCACCTGCCAGAAGCACTTGTCTTCAGGCCAGGAGGTTGGTTCTTAAGGATTCACATTTTCTATACAGAGTTTAGGAAGGGTAGGCTAGATGGAGGCAAGGAATGAAGTGAAGTATATTAACAAACAAACCTGTTTTGGATTGGGTTGCACTCAGTTTGAAGAACCAGGTTTATCCTTTTTTGGTGTTATTTAATTCAGCCTTGCACTTGTATGCACCGGTGGCAGTGATGGCTAGGAACCAATTTGCCCAGCTTAAGGTGGTGCACTAACTGCACCCATTACTGAGGAGATGAGATCTGGTTATAGAAGGACATGCATTCATTACAGTAAGACTGGATTACTCCAGCACACTCTCTATGTGGATATCTTTGAAGAATCTTTGGAAACATCAGTTGGATGGGATCATATGCCCATGAGATCCTGCAACAGCTACCCAACAATTCAATTTTCTCTTACTGACCAGCTGACATTTCATCTGAATAGATTGTTTTATCTATGCAACCTGCCTCTATCCTGGTTTTTTGTGTTTAAATGTGTATTAAAACAAAACTGAAGTTTTGTTGTGGATATGTAATCCGATTTGTTGCAAGCCACCTTGAGTGACGTGTACTCATTAGATAGGTGGGGAAATTCTCATATAAATAAAATGACTGTAAAGCTCAGTCCACCTCCAGCCTTCGCTGGAGTAAGTGGCTCACTGGGAGCTTTCCATGGTGCTGGCATCACTGGCCTGCCTTGCTTCATGGGTGTCCAATTGCAGGTGGGTCAGAACAGCCTAGTCTTCATACATGGCACTGCTGACTTGATAGAACATTTATATTGCCTCTGACATCCATTATGTTGTCAAGCTGTTTCCCAGAGGAGCTGATGGAATATCTGTGATTGGTACTCCTACAGCTAATTTAGTCTAAACAATAGAATACCAACAGTCTGGCACAGGCGTGGTGACACTGTGCATGAATGAATAAGCTGTTTCTATCCAAACTGATTAATTAAATTATTGGCAGAGTGGGAACATCAGCCGAATATGATGAATAGCTGTAATACATTTTGCATCGCCTTCTGTTGACGTTCCTATCGCCATTTGAAGAAGCCTGCTTTAAAAGAAACATGGATGTTCTGTAGCTTCTCTGCTTTTGCGGCAGTAAAATGTATTATATTGGGGGGGGGACAGACTGCTAGTTTTATTTACTAAGTTATTTGCATGTAACAATACAGAATGGGTTTTTTAAAGTACTTTTCAAATGGCATTGAAAATGTCACCAAATATAATAATCTGCAACAAAGAAGAAGAATCTCATAATGTTATTACCATGCTGCATTACTAAAATTGGGGGCCTCATATATTTCACACATTCTGTCAGCACAATTAAATTGAAGTGCCAATTAGGCCAGAAGCACTCAGTGGCCCACCACTCAGTGGCCCCAGTCCCCAAAAGTAATGGCCCCAATGAATGGTGCTACTGTATGAGTAGCTGCATGTGGATAGGAAAGGGGATGTGTATACAGACTAGAATGTGCATCTCAGTCAAAGTAATGCAGTGCAGTCTGCATCCTCATTTTGGATGTGCAGCTAATTTGTGTTCATAATCACGTTAGCTGAATTAGGATGGGTCTTTCCACATAACAGGTGTGTCC